TTCCTGCTATGTACATGAGAAGGAATGTTAGCCTCAAAGTTCGGTCCATGGCTAAGGTACTGATTCACAGCACAAACTTTAGATCTCATAGTGTATAAAATTGTGTTTGTTACATTTTGAAATGTTCACTCATGCATTTAGGAATAATCATGTGTAATTAACAATTGGTTTTTATATGCAGGAAGAGAAACCAAGTGAGGCTGCAACCCCAGTTACACCACCACCATCGGTAGAACCCAAGCCACAGCCAGCCTTTACTCCTGCACCCAAGGTAAAACCAAATTGTAAATTTTTTCTTCCTGATTTAAGTTTTTAACAATACTCTATGATTTGATTTTTGGTCCACTCAACATGGAAATCAAAGTTAACACTCTTCATGTGCCATTAATTAATTTAAGAAATGTATTGTTTTCCTTGGACCCTAAAGAAACCAATAATTTGTTTCTCCGAATGCCTCTTGGCAGAGACTACTCCGGCATAATTTTTATACCAATAACATAAGTATAAAAATAATTAAAAAAAAACACTATAAATGAAGGACCTAAAAGGCTAAACTGAACCACTTTTAACACTAATTTAAGTTGGCAAATAACTAAAGAATCACCAAGGAGTTTTGCAAATGTGAATTTAGTGTATTGAGATGATGGTGAATGGTGGCAGGTGAGCACCAAGTTTTCTGATGTGTTGGCATTCAGTGGGCCAGCACCTGAGAGGATCAATGGAAGGCTGGCAATGATAGGGTTTGTAGCTGCAATGGCAGTGGAAGTAGCCAAAGGGCAGGGTGTGTTTGAACAAATATCCAATGGTGGCATTCCATGGTTCTTGGGGACAAGTGTGGTCCTAACCCTTGCTTCCTTGATTCCACTGTTCCAAGGGGTTAGTGTGGAGTCCAAGTCTAAAGGATTCATGTCCTCAGATGCAGAACTTTGGAATGGCAGATTTGCTATGTTGGGTTTGATTGCCCTTGCGTTTACTGAGTATGTCAAGGGAGGAACGTTGGTGTAATGTAATTTGAGACATCAAGTCACACAACATGGTCTTAGAGAGACCAATCTATTTGTACGTGCTTTGTTTTATTAAACTACATATACATATAAAACTATATCGTTAATCACAAGCAAATGTCATGACATTGAATTGTTGCCACTTGCTAGCTTAGGAACATGTTATCAACACGATAGCAATAGCCTTTTTACTAAGCGAAGTTAACTACTAAAATCAAACGACGCTTCTTTACTGAACGAGGTTAACTAAAATAGATGTCGCTTTCTTAATTCGTCTAAAATCAAAATTAATATACACGGAGAGGTGGACTCGAATTGTAGAATACCTCTATTTTCATGGTGATTCTTCTTTTATTACCTTTCTTGTTGATTAACTTTTGCAGTTTGAACTGGAAAATGGAAAGGCGGTTGATGAAAAGTATTAAAAGAAAGTAAAGAAACTATTTATATAATATTTATTACATCGAAAATATTATAAAGAAAGAAATAAGGGAAAAGAGAATAGTACACGATTTAATGATTTATGTAATATGGAGACAACGAAAAAAAAAAGTTTTGAATTAAGTGTTGTGAAAGAAAGTATACCTAATTTAGTTATAAAAAAAAGGTGGTATTTGCTATAATAAGTTTTTGATAAACTTTATTTATACAACTATTTTATTTTATAAATGAGATAGGAAAAGTAACAGAAATACAAAATAAAAATGAGTGATATGATGAATGGAGATTAAAAATAATATAAGCCGTATAATTTTATCATTTATATTAAATATATCAAAAGCATAAAAACATATTTTTTCAACTTCTTTTTATAAATGAGAGAGAGAGAGAGAAGAGTAACAGAAATTCAAAATAAAATGAGTGCTTTGATAATGGAGATTAAAAAATTTTATAAGTTGTATAATTTTTTCATATAAATACAATATAATATATCTAAAGCATAAAAATAGTGTTATTCCTTGATACTTTAGCAAACATGCCCTGCCCTTTATTATAAGTTGCTTATCAAAAAAAAAAAAAATACTAAAGTGACGGACATTTTGCGACACCTGCTCCAAACCTTGAAGCAATTCAATTTATATAATTATTGTAGTATAATAACTTCGGTTCCCATTAACTTTAAGAAGAAAAAAATTGAAAGGAAAAGATTAAAAATATAGGTAAAAAATAAAATAAAATTCATGTCAAATACGATATGAATTATGTGATGTCTGAATATTAACATTATTCGGATGATACTTACTAAATTATTAATTCAAGAGGAAAAGGATTCGAATCAATGCTTATTTGATGTCTAAATAACATCTATTCTAGAACAAATAAAGGATCACCTTAACTATGAAAAATGTATTGGCTCCAGTAGATAATTATGAAGGCAATGTTTATTACAACTGTAACTAGAAATACTAATGTATCATGTATGCAGGGGAACTTTCCTCCTGTGAATGTTGTTGTGTGTGTTTGTTTTGTTAAAAATTTGTAACCAAACATTAAACGGAAAAGAGATAAAATAAAAAATAAAAAAAACAAACAAACAAACAAACAAAAAAAAAAACTTATTTTGTATTTTGATATTTTGAAAAGAGTGATTTTACGTTAAGAAAATGAATTTCCAAACATGCTGGTAGTAGTTGTAGTTGACAAAATTAACCAAACCAACGTGCATTTGTTTAATTGATGAAAAATTTCAAATAAATAAACCTACAATTAAAAAACATAAATATATATATATATATATATATATATATATATATATATAATAGTTATGCATGTTATATAAAAATTATAAATAAAAAAAATCAAACCAGAAAAATTGATCTATTAAAAAAATTTAAAATTCAAACTTCTTGAATAAAAATGACAAATAAATCTGGATCCATAAATAATATCTAAACTCGTCTCAACTTTAACGGAGAATACGCGATTTGATCAGATACGGATAAAATCTGAAATATTAAACCAGAGACAGGGACGAGGCAAATATATACTTATCCATCTCCATTCCTGATTTAATATTTATTTCCAATTTGATTGTTTTAAAAAATGTTAATATTTAATTACGTATAATTATTTATTATAATGTGAAATATTTGTGATTGTTTAATTATTAAGAAGTCTCTTGATTAAAATATAATATAGACAAACAACTCAATTACAATTATAATATAATAAAAAGTTAAAAATATTATATTTTTTATAAAAAAAATTAATTTTTAACAAATACAAATACAAGTATACCATTACTCAACAAGACGGGAATAAAATGACGAAAATGAGGATGAGACAAAAATTATTTATCAGATACAAAAATGAGAATTGATTTGAACCAGAGACAAACAAATATCATAAAACCCGTACCTAACCTACTCGTTGTCATGCCTATTCTTATCTCATTGCAATCTTTTCTAATAATAAAAAAATACCAACGAATTCTTAACCGCATTAACACAGCATAATTGATAAACAAGTCTATCATCATAATAATGCCGACACGAAAAATACAGGCAATACAAATCGGTAAATTCTCAGATGAAAAGCGGTTCTTGAGGTACAAGAAACTGAGCACAGTTGCAAAACTTATGATATGACATGTATATATATTAGTGTCAGTGTCGCCCCTTATTAATTACATGGATATCAGATTTTCATCTACGGAAATGAAGCTCTACACTCAAATTTATGAACAGAAAAGAATGAGAACAATACAAATCTTAGTAGTTTTGTTTTTTTTTTACTCAAGAAATCATATCTATTGCATATGTACAAATATTCACCAATAAAACGGATAATGTCTTCAGCGCCCACGTTCTTAAAACCCCCGGTTATGGATCAAGCTGATATTCAGGCTTGTCAAAATCACCATTTTGGAGAGTGCTTCCCACCACCCCATTTTCAACTCTCTGCAAATCATTGCAAATCCATGGCCAAAACAATAGAAGAAATTAGCGTCTCGTATCCAATACAAATGAAATTAAGACCATGTTGCAATAACTTGATGTTGACCTAACACTACACGGGACAATGCTACAAGTTGGAAGGTGGGAACCAGATCTTCTCCCTTAATTACTTGTTTTATTCGTCAAAAATTATAATGGGATTGTTCAATTTTGTCAAGCGGACAAGACTTCGATTTCTTAGAGAATAAATAAATGTGCCTTCAATCGTGCATCACACAAATGAGATGTCAAAATGAAAATGATGGTTTGCATTTATCCACCATAAAAAAAAAGTAACATAAACAAAAGATAAAAAGGTTATCACCCACCCAAAATAAAGAAAAAGTTGGTGTTTGATTAGTTGTATGTAGACAAACAATAACAAAAAAAAACAGGGAGGTTCAGATACATACTTCTGTATGTAGATCAACTGGAAACAAATTTATAGCTCCTGCGTTGAACGAGAATCCACTGAAGATGACACAATTTTTGCATTAGTGACATGCATAATGGGAAAAAAAAAAAAAAAAAAAGAGAGGTAGAATGCAATTAACAAAAGTTAAAATTAATAATAAGATAGATACTAGCACTAATTTCCTTAGAGCTAGAGTTTCTCAAGTCTCAATACATAATGATTACCAAGGTAGGTTCTTAATCTTAATGAGCAAGAGCTTGCAATTTACAAGCAGAATGAAATGAAATAAGACCAATAAAATTCAAACTAGTAAAATAATTAAAGTATACGATGCTCCAGGAATCATACCAACGGGATAGCACTAGCTGCCAGACATATGGGATAAAAAACTCCTCTGGATGACTCTCTTGTTCGTATGTGAAGCGCAGTTGAGTAAACATCTGCCAAACAAGATACAGCCTCATATAAACAGGACAAATAATCCACTTTGATATTCCACATTGGAAGCAAAACACAAATCAGAAAATATATTTCTAGCTTACCTTCATTCCATCACCCCTCCATGATCGACAATTGACGATTATGACTTGGAGCACTTCATTGACTGACCAATCTCCTTCCTCTCGTTGAGCATCCATACGACTATTAAAAAAATCTAATACCTGTAAATATTTAATAGATACATTTTTCAAACACTCAAGAAACATTATTTGTTATACAAAGACGAGCTTCATTAATGTGACTACAGATAGCACAAAACGTGCTCCTTTAAAAAAAGCAAGATTTTAAAAGGTCAGAATATTTTGTGACTTTTATTTAATATATAACACATACGGTATAAATGTTATCAATCAGTTCATTGAAGCGTGGATGATTCTTGAATGGCAGAAAGACTTCCTGCCTGTGCATAATTGCATATACTACCTGCCCCAGTCACATAAGAAAACAAAAGTTAGACGCAAAAGGTTATAATGTAAATTTCAACTACTGCAAACTAGATAAAAATAGACATGTTAAATCTTTTCAATCAATCAAGAAACGATCAAATACCTCAGGATTCCGAGGCAGTGCATAAGTCAGGATTGCATTTATTATTTCTAGTACAAGCCTCAAGAAGTCGGTATAAATGTGCAATTCAGTTGACTGCACCAAAAGAATATATAATTTACAAAAAGGAATAGTATAAACCTGTAATCAATAGAACCACAAAAGCACCAAGGCAGTATATACCATATCTTCTACAAGGCTGTTCCCTTCAACTGAGTTGTCTTTTGCAGTATGAAGCTTATTATCTCTGCGTTCAGCTAATTTGTTATACCTAATAAGCAAAAATATGGCCATATTTTAAACCAGAGATTACAATTTTCCAAAACATAAAGAGACAGAAATAGAACACTATAAGGTAAACAAAAGAGTGACTCAGTGACATACTTTCGCGAAAGCATATCAAAAAGGCTGACTAGTCTCTGAGATGCATATGCACTCAAACGATGGACATGAGGTGCCATGTTTGCTAAAGTTGCCAGACATGTTGTTTGGAGATAGACATCCTATCATAATTTAATACACAACAGAATGATCAAAGGAGATATATATATATATATACACACACAAATATAGATAAACACGAAAAAAAATTATTAGTTTTACGCACATAAACTACTTAGGTAAACAAGGATCAGAAACATTTCTAAGATTGAAATATGTCAATTCTACTTGTATCTGTTGGCATACTTTATATGCAAGTATGGCCCACAATAGACATAGGCTATCAGATCACAGTGCTTTCAGAGCCTTAATCCCGGGCTTGTACAATTGAAACTTTCTGTCTGTCCTTAAAAAATACTGCTTTCGTTTATGAATACTAGTTTTAATTCACAATATCCAAATATCCCATTTTATCACGCCAACTAAAGACAACACCAATTTGGTTAACAAATGCAAAAAACTTAGAACTTATATACTTAACTGAAAATTATATAACCAAGATAAAGAGTCGTTGAAATTTAATATTTGCTGAATTGGAAATGTTTGTAAAGGAAAAATATCAATGCATGCCCTCCTGAAATATACAATACAAATTCACAGCTGGTTCATATTTTTATTGGGCCAGGGGTTTAGCATGTCAGATGCAGTTTAGCATCAGAAAATTAGTATCTATAATTTAACTATAATGGGTCAAAGTATTTCACAGAAAAGAGAAAAATCCCCATCAATAGCAATAATCACTTTAGACATTCAACTACTAAAGTCATAATTCATACAAACTAAACAGTGGCACATCTCAGGAAGAATCATATTAATTGGCCAATATAGTAGGTATTTTTGTCATACAATATATGTAATGTCTGAATTAATAATCAGTCAGCAAAAAAGGCTAATTTTAGATACATGAGATTAAATTAACAGTCCATCTCAGTTTAAGATTTATACCCGTAGTTTTGACAAATTATACTGTACGGTTCTGATAAGAATTATGACCATGAGGGAACCAAGAGAAGTCTGATGGAGAAGACGTTCTTTGTACCATGGAACTCCAGTCAATATCTGTCCATTCATATATCACATTAGCATTTAATGCAATCCTTGCATTTTTAGGACAAAATCTAATGCCAAAAGACAACTATTACCAGCTTATGAATGCTAGCATTAAAAGAAGAATCCTGACTAAGTATGAGAAGTATAATTAGCAACATGTAAATTTGATTAGCTGTCCTCGTTGGAGAATTGTATAGAGCTTCCAGAATAGGCATTAACTGTTAATTTCACAAGAGAAAACAGGTATAAGAAAAAGGCTTAACCTTCAGTGATTCTAAATGTATAAGCAGGGCTCGTACAATTTAGAATGACTAAAAACAAGTGGTTACATATATCAAATGATAATCCAGTAAATACATGTTTTAAAAAGTAATCCTCAACAGAACTTAATCTGAAACTTAAGTTTGCTGCCTCATACCAATGTATCCAAATCTGTCCGCACCAATACATACTCCAGAAAGGCAGAATTCCCTTGTAACAATGAGTAAAGCAGTAGGACAGCTGCCTCGTCAGCTAAGCATCTGCATAGGAATAGATGTTGCAAAGTTTAAAAAAGTAACAAATGTGCACAAACCAAAATAATGAATGGCAACTACTATGAATGTATGACACAACATGCATATATATAACTTGTACATTTAATAAAAATGTCCAAAGTAACAAGAGACTGAGAAATCTTGATATATCTAGAAGCAGGGAGAGTGAAGGACACTTGTTACCAAACTGGAAATCATGAACCACAAGGTACCAGAGCTTCAAACAATGAAATTAATGCAGGGACACAAAGTTGCAAATAACAATCATATGCCTGAAAAATGCTAGACAGAAATCTGCAACTACCTAATTGAAAACCAAACACGGGTAAAATAAATAGGGACAAAATTCTTATTTCTTCTTTTACTTTTTCCCTCCCTTTCTTTATTGTAAGAATCAATTGGTTAACAGAAAAGTGTAAACAACAAGTTTTCTAAATGTCATAATAACTAATAAGACTGATTGACAACTAGTACACGTTCTGACTTCTGATCATGTGACATTTGAGAAACAGAAGCTTCAAGTTATCATCGTGATAGCATGCAAGTTGTATTATCATATTTTGCAGCGATAGACTCAATTAAAACCATAGCTAAGCCAGAAATGAATATAGTATGTTAATTGTCAAAAAACTATAGGTAGCAAGAAACTCACATGCCAAGTGTATCAAATAACGAAGCAAAGGGAAGCTTTATGTGTCGAGAACTGTGTGCATTGCCCTCAATATCTACCCGATCCACTGCATTTAAAGGTCTGATCAAAATTGCTAGCCTTCTCAATCAATTCAAATAACATGCATAGATATGAAAAATATATTACATTCACAATCAATTGCATTCTCTAAAGCCTTGCAGTATGGATTGTCAGAAAAATGAGGATTTTCTTTGAGTAAAGAATCTGACGTGGAAGATTTGTTATCCATGTAGTCCTCACTCATGATACATCTATGATAATGAACAAGAACAAGAAGCACGTGAATACTGATATCTGCAATAGGACTTTTTGATCCTTCACCACTCGAACTGACCAGATAACTAAACGGAAATAAGACAATATTTGCTGCAAGGTAACAAAAACACATTAGTAAGTTTAACACTTATGACAATATTATGCAAAATGCGTATTTGACTTCAAAGACTTCATAAATATGAAAGAGAAAAGTATCTACAGTCATCATACCAGCTGCAGAACCAACTCTCTGCAGCACACTACTCTGACTTCCATCTATGATGGAATAAGTTGCCCGATTAAATGGAACGTTAGAACGGACCATGAAATTTAGAAGCAATCTGCGAACAACTGAATCAACCAGAGAGCTGTCCTGCAAAAATAACAATACACTAATCTGATGTTTACTATCTGCAAAATTGCAAATACAAAATAACTCGGCAACCAAGCTTTGATATTAAAGTTTCAAGTTCTAACCTGAACCATTGCTGCATCAAGAAAGGGGTTCACATCATTTGGTCCAGGAGATGGCCCACAGAGAAGCTGGGTTGACATTGCAATAATCATGAAATTAAGCAGCTCTATATGTAGGATGACCGTGTCCGGACTATAATATTAAAAATAAATTGTCAGGACAAAATAGTTCACTCAATATCTCAACAACAATTAGCTGGTCAAAGTACTCATGAGTCATGATATACCTCACTTCTACTGATGCTATAAAATTCAGCACATTCCGCATAACAAAATTTTCAATGCTTTGATCTGTATAAAAATTTTAAAGCAATTAAGAGATTTGAATAATACTGGAAATACACGTATAAAAACCAAAACAGAGTTAAAAGGGGAAAATGACATAATTCATGTAAAACCCCAGAAAAGTAAGGAAATTCCGATTCACACAAATGTCAAATACCATGTTTATGTGACATAAATCATAACAAGTTGACATTGAAACCAACATTTCTCAACCAAGTAGATGTCAAAATTAAGTTTCATTCTTTACATGAATCTTAATCTAACTCCCCCACCCAAAATCATATATGCAACATGGTTCAATAAAATTTATATGTTTGTTTCATTCTTCATATGAATCCTAAGCTAACTCCCCGCCCAAAATCATAAAAGCAACAAGGTTCAATAAAATTTATATGTTTGTTGATTCGCAGATTTTAATTATAAATCTGAAAAAAAACGAGAGTCATACATACCTCTCATAACATCCTTCCATACAGCCTCATTATCTTCAAGAGACAGGTATAACTGGATATTATTATCGCCTTGGACACTCTCAATCAAGTGCTTTAAAAAAGTCGAACTCATGTACACTGCATTAACAGTCTTTTCATAGACCAAGGGCGACACACCAGAAGTAGACATGCACTCTTGCAAGCAGCACGCTAGATGGAACAAAATCTTAGCAAGATGCCTGGTGTGAGAATTGTTTTTGGCTGCAAAACAATTGGGGAAGAAAAAAAAAACGAAAATCTCAAATGAGATCTTGCCACGAGAAACAAATGTACTCTCCTAAATAGTTTATACATTAATTAACACATTATCATAATTTCGATATAGTAAAATCATAGTCCAACATTCCAAGCTGTTAACCTGTGCCATATTCAACAAATCGGACAATTGAAGCCTCTCCTTGAAACCATTATCATTCTAAGCCTAAAAACGGTGATGAGATAAAGTAATCAGAATATGACTAACCTAATAGCTCGCAAGCTTGTTGAACACGCTGAGTAGGCCATTGAACATTGAGAGGATGCTCCAGCAATTTCTGCCAGAACTCTGACGAGAGGGGGAAGGGCTGGTCGCCGACGAAAGTTCCGATCAGATACTCCGCCGTCTCCAGCGAGAATGCGCCACCCTTGCGCGGCGTTGACGGAGCCGACCCCATTCCAGGAAATAAGGGTTTTATAGGCGATGCGGTGCGTTGGGGTCAAATCTTGCGGGCACTGATTTGGTGTGAGATTCAGGGCAACCGCATTGCGCGAAAACTCGCGGAGAGATCAAAACGATTTGATCCGAAGTCGAAAACGGAAATGAGTTTTGAAAATCTCGCGAGCTCAGAAGGGAACACACACTCTGTAGAGGGAGAAGAGCCACAACAACAACGACAAGGAGCTTCCAAACGAAGGTTTTGCAGAGGAGTAAAAGACTTGTTTGGGTGTTTACGCGTTTCGCTTTATTTATTTCACGAAATCGCGCTTGTAAGTCGTTGGAAACCAAACAGGACACATTTCCAATTTCGTCAAATTAAAAAATTAATGTATATTTTTTTTCTTTTTAATTTTAGAAATATCGTCAATAATAAAACTATAGAATTAATAAGGTATCGTATTCAAATTTTCGTTCCCATTTTGTTTAAACAAAAATTAGTATAGAGATTTACGTTTCATGTGAAAATGTGAAAGATTTGTCTCCATACGATTGCGGGTACAATTAAGTGATTAACTTAAACCATATAGTGATAGTAGACCGAATAAAATATTAAAACTTATCTATTTTTTGGGTGAACATTAAAACTTGTCTATTAGAAAATGCTACTTTTGTTATATATAAAATCTTCTCTTTTTTTATAAAATTTTCTTTTTAGTTGCATTAATTGTGTATTTTTTTAAAAATACTTTTATTTAATTAACGATTTTTAAGATAAAAAAAATGTTTAAAATTAAATAGATAAAAGAAATTCTTGTTGGAATTGAAAAAAAATATATATATATAAATATTTCTCTTTCTTAAACATTAACAAATTAAGTAAAAAAAATGATTAAATTAAAACAATAAAAGTTTATTTTAAAAAATAATTTAAATTATCAACAAATTTAATATTTTTAATTAATTTAAAAAATATAATTTAGTTGAAAGAATTTTATTAGAGAAGTGGGTGGTAAATAATATGCGGATTATTTTGACGATGCATTTGTGCATCTAGCCTAATGTTTGACTACATTTCTTTGCCTAATTGTGTGCCAATCGCCAAACATGTTAGTGGAATAGGATGGTAAAAAAAACTTTTTTGAATTGTGTGTATGTTACGTAGTGTGGAGTAGGATCGTAAAAAAAACAAACTTCTCTAAATGTGTTGTATGTTACGAAGTATGAGAGTTCCCTGAGTTATCTTGTAGACGTATATGATATGTATTCATATTAGTCATATTTTTTATTTATAAAAATTATAATAAAAACAATAAAATTTGAACTAATAACTTATTATATACTACAATTTTTATCTTTCAGTATGTAATACGGTATTTTTTTTGTCTATTATTATTTAGTGTTTGGCGTGTTTAGAAAATTCTTTAACTTCTGGTATAGTCGATTTTGTGAAAGAAAAATATATAAGAATTTTTTTTATAATTGAGTTTTATAAATTTATTTTTTAAAATTATAGAGAGATTAATTAGTGAGATTCTCTAATTCTTGAACTTTCTCCTTCTTGTTCTTTGAGCTCTTAAGAACTCTAGAGCTGCAATTTATTGTAATTGGTTAGGATTTGAAGCTTCTTGGAGCCGAGAATCAATGGTGGCACATAACATTCTTTGTAGTTCTATAATTCATCTTCTTCTTCCTCTTCTCCTTCTTATTTGACTTAGAACTCAGATTCTTGTTATATTTTGAGTTGTATGTTGTTGGATCATCATAAAAGATGTGATTCTGTGGTTGAGTTTCAAAATTTACATGAACTTTATGTTGTGAAGTTGGGTTTTTCAGGGAAGGTGAATCCAAATTCAAAGTTGTTGATCTCTTGCCGTTGAGTGCATACATGTTGCATTTGAACTGATCTTTTTTATGTTTTACATGTTGTTTAGAAACATTTTGATGGAATGCATGTGAGTTGGATGGTTTTGATTTGATTTTGAGGCTTACATATGAGTTTGGGATGATTTGGAACTCATTGATAATGTTGTTGAGGGGGTATTTTCTTGTAACCCCTGTTTAGGAGTCGTCTTAGGTGCGACTTGGCAATCACTATTGTGATTGACTCGATTTGAGGATAAAAATGTTGTAAGTGATAGAATAGAGTTTGTCACAAGCATGACTTAGTGGTCATGATCGTGATCCTTGCTACCAAGTAGTCAAAAGACATGGGTAGTAGTAGAATAGAGTCTCTCATGAGCGTGACCAAAATTGTCACATTTGTGATTGCCTCGATAGTCCTTATATTAATTGAATTAGTTGTTGGGATCTTTATGGAAGTTGTAGCCTTGGATATTAGCTTTCTAATTGCTTTGAATCATCTAAAAATAAGTATATAACTCAAGTTATAACCTTTTAAATGAGCAAAGGTCAAATTGTCAATATCAGTTAAAAATGTTGTGATTTTTATAATTTTTAGTATAGTAGATGATTAAATTAAAACTTGAGGTCTTCATAAGAGTTGTAGATAATCTTTTTGTCTTTCATATGAGATAAGGATGAATTTGATAAGAGTAGCATAACTCTCTCTGTGATATTTTTATGTGCAAGTTGTCAATATATGATAATTGATTTTGACAAGTTATATGTTGATACATGTTATATGACAGGTGAATTTGGTGAATATGAATAGAATACTTGTGTATATTACATGTTGTATGATATATGATGATTATGACAAACATTGGTGTGCTATTCTTACATGGTTGACATGTTGATAAGCATTGGCATGTTTACCTTGTATGTATTGACATGAGATAATGCATATAGATTATGTTGAGGTGTTGATGCTGAAAATATTGTAAGCATTAAAACATGTTGATTAAATTAAGATTAAATGAGTGGATGTTGTTTTGAAAGTTTAATATTCTATGTAGGGAATATTTTTGTGGCACTTCAAAATGCTATTTTTGAAAACCCTCATTGGGTTAATGTTATCTCTTGGAGTGGATTTTGTTGAGTCTCCTCTAGATTTTTTGTTAGTGTTGAAGTAAAGCATGAAGTTGAGGATTGCAACCCTTAATTGACTACTAAAAAGATATTATATAATACCTCGAGAGATACTTAGTGGGTTAATGTCACAAGTGACGTGGTAATGCATGTCATGATCGTGATATGCTTATACCTAACTATGTTAGTCTTGATAGTAAAATCAAACTTTTCTAGTACAAGTAGTGACACCTGAGAAATCAAAGAAGATATTTTTATCTCATTTTAATTGTTGATCTAACAGACGTATATGACATGAAAACGACCAGGTTGGTTTGGAAAGATCAAACACTTAGACTACTCAAGTTGGTTCAGTAGGAGTTACTCGTGAATGAATACATGATGATACATTAGTTGTGGTATATGCATATAATGAAGTGAGTTGATATTATTTATATGCATTGAGTGAATATCTTTTTATATGATATGGTGACGATGTAAATTGCTTGGGTGTTAAGTTTTCAAACATCTTGGTGCTAAATTACTTGTATGATGTGAATCATGAAGTGTTGCTTGCTTGGTTTATATGTTGGTGCATAGTATAGATTTTCATTTCCTATACTTGTTTTCTTTTGTAAGCTAACTTATTTTTGCATGTTTCCTTAATGTTTAGATTGCAAATATCTTGTTTTCATGAGCCTAGGACAAGGTTAACTAGAAACAAGATATTCATAATTTAAATCTAATGGATTATTTTATAATTTTATTTATGAGTTTTCTATAAATAGAAAAAAATTGTGATACAAAAATCAAATATTGATATTATCCTATTCTAAAAACAAGAAAATAATTTATAAAATAATATAAAAAAATAAATTTAAATATTTAAAAGACTTTTATGAAAACTAATGTCCTCTCTTACAAAATTCTAGTCTTAAATATAAAATACACTACATTAAAAAAAAATATCTATTTTGAATGTATTCATAATATTAAAAAAAAAAAAAAAACAATCATTATTTCCAACAATCATACTTTATATAAACATCATAATTAAAACAAAAGTGCAGTTTCCACGGTCCAATTTAATAAAGAAAACACAATTTTAATGTTGATTATTTTATAGCACGTAACTTAAGGGTGTGAAAGAGTGACGACTGATTCACGGGTAAGCTTTGTTTCCATTTGCTCACTATTCTACTTTTCATTAATAATCACCCACGTATAACTTATAATTATATAATATATTATTTAGTTTGACATTTCATTTAGATGTCGGCCACCGCCAAAATAATCAATAACGAAACTTCTTTTTTTAGTATTTAAAAATAATATATATACTATATTAATTCTATAATATATAAGATAAATATTTATTTATGCAATTAAAATTTATAATAAATAAATATTTTAATATTAAATTAGAATTTATATTACAATATAAAAATAATTGTTTGCAAAATAAGTTATATATTTGTAATAATATGCATATTAATATCAACATGAATATTCTTATAGAAATTCTCTTTCCAGCCGGCCAACTTATTGGGTGTTGGTGGATCCGATGATCGACGTGCCACCAAATGTCGAAATAAACGTTTTCACTCAATATGTTCGCCATTATCTTTCTATATATAAGTAAAATAATAATAATAAGAAAACATATAAAAATTATAGTATTTTTTATCAAGTAAAAGAATTTATTATTTTATTTTCACAAAAAAAAACCGTATTTTTAGAATAGTTATTATGTTTTTTAGTGTTATTTACTTCGAAAAAATAAGATTTGAAACTCATTTTTTTTATTTTTCATCTGAGATAATTATTTTATACTAAACAATCTTCTAATTTCATTTCTTATCTAATTTTTTCTCTCCATTTTCAATTCTTTTTTTCTATTTTTTGTGCATATTAGTACTTATACTAATATATAAAGAGAATACTCTTTTTAATAACCACCTTGGTCTTTATATTTTTGTTGACCATTATACTCTTTTATTTTAAAAAATTAGAAAAAAATAATATTTTTATCAAAATCAAGATCCTGAAATTAATCTATACTAATATATAAAAAAACATACTCCTTTTCGTAACTTCCTTGATCTCCATATTTTGTTAACTATTATACCCTTTCATTTTAAAAAATTAGAAGAAAAATATTTTTTATTATCAAAATCAAGACCTTAAAATTAATTGACTAATTATAACATTAGATCAACATATATTTATTACTTAATTTTTATTTTATTTTATCTTTAATAAAAGCACGAAGTACCTCGACCTTACTGGTGGAAATAAAAAGGTTTGAAATTCACAC